GAGAGATATGGGGACAGAGCGAGAGAGAGAGAGAGAGAGAGAGAGAGAGCGTCAACTCGACACAAACTAGATCATTTTGGGACTAACACATGGTTCAATTTTATTTCAATAATTCGCTAGCACGTAGGGCTCTTTAGCAGTGGGAGGTAGATCCATGTGGTAAGGCAAAGCAACGCTACTTTGTGTCATTGACAGACCTTATGGTCTACAGAGTTATCCTAGTAGCATGCAGAGTTTGTACAAATTACAAAATGTATATTTACATTAAAGATACATTATGTAAGATTTAGATAAAGAGCTGGACGTTCTCGCTATATAATAGTTATATTTAAGATACATTATATAAGATTTAGATAAAGAGCTGATAGTTTTTGCTATAATAGTTATATTTAAGATACATTATGTAAGATTTAGATAAAGAGCTGACAGTTTTTGCTATAATAGTTATATTTAAGATACATTATGTAGGATTTAGATAAAGAGCTGACAGTTTTTGCTATAATAGTTATATAAAAGATTTAGATAAAGAGCTGACAGTTTTTGCTATAATAGTTATATAAAAGATTTAGATAAAGAGCTGACAGTTCTCACTATATAAGAGTTCAAATATAGATAATGAAACATTAATATATTGAAAATGTTATTCAAATTACTTTAACCTGAGCGAAGTTATAACTGTTTGATGTTCTACCAGCACGTGACATTGATTGTTTATTATCCTAACCGTAGTACTGGTTATTCGAAACTTAGCCTCGCTACTCGAGTTTTAAATTAAATCATTAAATAGCCGAAGCGTTATAATCTCATTAAAATCAGAGCCATCCGATGACCTAGAATAATTATGGGCTTGTTATGTTAATCAAGCTTTAAATAATAGTTTATATAACTTTTAAAGTCAAACTAAATACCTGTAGGCCTACTAGGCAGATTTAGCTCTTACTTGATGCATCTATAAGCAGGGAATATGTTTCAACGAAGTTAATACCGTTTGTTTCAAACATTTCAATCGATGACAACAGTTGGACGTTAAACCCCATTTCATTTCATTTCAATCGATGACTAGATCTCGACAGTTCTTCAACCGAGTCACGGTGTCTAAGTGGGTAAGACGGTGGATCGCTAGCTTGGAGGTCGGGTGTTCGATCCTTGCATTGGCCGAGAAAGTTCATCCAGATTTTCCGGCGTGGTTCCTTCTTGTCAGTGATGCAGGACGGAAGGCCTGACAAGTACAGCTATCTAGTCGTTCGGATGGGACGAAAAACCGAGGTCCCGTGTACACATTGACGTGCACGTAAAAGATCCTTTGGCAGTTGTAAATCCATATAAGAGTAGGCCGTAGTGCCGCTGTTCATGAAAGATTTGCCTGATAGCACACTGTATGGCATATGCTCGTCTTCACCAGGCCAGTCGGAGCAATACATTTAATTTGATGTTTGTGAGAAATACATTTATCTATTTAGCATACAGATCTACAAATTGTATACGGGTGAGTGCGACGGACACTACTGTCCAGAATATGTCCCCCCCCCCCTTTCATTCTAGGGGCAAGGACTCCGTGATTTTTCAGTCAGGGGTCCTACGCAACCCTTAGACCGCCACTATTAAGGAGGTGTGTTTGTGTGTGTGTGTGTGTGGGTGTGTGTGTGGGAGGGGGGGGGGGTGTTGTCGAAAGAACGTGCGAAGCGTTGTCCCCGCTCTGCCCTCATTTTACTCTAATCCAATACCTGTACATATTTAAATGAGCTAATGCTTCTTCCGCGCTTCTAATCCCCCTACTTGGACCCCCACCCCACCCGTCATCCCTCCACATACTGCCCAATTTCCTCGACACGCTCCCGCTCCTTCCTCTTGATTTGATATCTATTATTTATGTCTTACAATGTCAGTGTAGTTTGTGGTGTCCGCAGGTTTGTCTTGTCTACAGGTTTGTGTTGTCCGTAGGTTTGTCTGTTCGGTTTTGTTTCTGCGTAGCGCGACTCTCCCACACTTCTAACGCCCAGGAGGGGGGGGGGGGTGATGGCTGGATGGTTAGCACGTGCACGCTGTATCATACGGTCTGTCATTGAGTCAAATTTATTAAAACCGGTTTCGATTCCCCAGATGTACGTAACAAGGATTAGGGTCGCCTGTCCAACCTCGTGTGTTTTCTCCGGGTCCTCCGGTTTCCTCCCACTGCTAAAAAAAACCCTACGCGCAAGCGAATTACTGAAATAAAATTGAACCATGTGTTAGTCCCGATATGACCTGGTTTGTATCGAGTGGACGTTAAACCCCATTTCTCTCTCTCTACAGCCCAGATTTCCTCATCCTAACTGTTAAATTATTTGTACAATAAATTTTCTGATTATTATTCGGCCTATGCCAGATTGTAGAGTAATGTATTTGATTTGCTAAATGCCCAGAATAAATTTATAATAAAAACCTACCTGAAACTAACTAGAGTACTAGAACTGTCACAAGTGTCATGGCGATCCGTATCTTATCTTCACTCTATGTTTGACCTAGTTAACGAACATTATTCGAGATATATATACCGTAACGTAGCCAGAATATCCGGCATCTTCTATCCGTCTTGTGTCAGTAATAAATCAATATTTGTCAAGTATGTTTTTTAAAAAAAAATAAATATACCTTTGATTTACTTAAGTATAGGTTGCGTAATGTCACAATGTGACGTCAGGGGATTTAGACAGCGAATACATTAAAATCTATGTTTAATATTCCTAATGTATGTGAATGACAAGTGAACAACAAAACAAACCATTTTGGGGGGTTGGATGGCTGAATGGTTAGCGCGCGCTGTATCATAAAGTCTGTCATTGAGTCAGCTGCCGTGGTTTCGAATTCCCAGTTGTACGTCACAAGGAGTAGAGTCGCCTGTCCAACCTTGTGGGTTTTCTCCGGGTCCTCCGGTTTCCTCCCATTGCTAAAGACCCCTACGCGCAAGCGAATTATTGAAATAAAATTAAACCATATGTTAGTCCCGAAATGACCTAGTTTGTGTCGAGTGGACGTTAAATCCATCTCTCTCTCTCTCTCTCTCTCTCTCTCTCTCTCTCTCACACACACACACACAAACCATTTTGTTTACTTTAGGACAGGATGAGAATTTAAACATCAAGTCTACAATACATAAAGGTAGATTATATAAGATTTACATAAAGAGTTGGCAGTTTTTGCAATAATAGTTAAAACATAGATAATAAAAAAAGAGTTTATTAAAAATTTCAGACAAATTACTTTATTCTGGGCGAAGTTAGCGATTGTCATTGCTACCGTTGTTACAATAATAAATAAAGTATCGATTATCCAGTTTTGATAAATTCATTAACTGACAATCGTGTTTAAATCCTATGAAAATCGCAGCCATCCAATGGTCTAGAGAGTTAATTATTGATTGACATGAGAATAAATGTCTAATTAATAATTTGGACGGAGGGCCTGACAAGGACAGCTGTCTAGTCATTTGGATGAGACAAAAAAAACCGAGGTCCCGTGTACACATTGGCGTGCACGTAAAAGATCCCTTGACAGTTGGAATTCGATATAAGAGTAGACCATAGTGCCGCTGTCCGGGCAAAATTTCCCTCGTAACACACTGTATGGCGTGTGCTAGTCTTCATTAGCCCAGTCGGAGCAGAACAGTAAGACGTTAAACCCCATTTCATTTCATTTCTAATTAATAATTTACATAACATTTGAGGCCAAAATAAAGACTTGCAATCGGCAGTTTTAGCTCTTACAAGAAAACAAAGTCTATATATGGAGTACGATATATGATCTTTGTGACCATATTGTATCTTTAAACTAATTATCAGATTCACAGTTTGTATTGAAGTCATATTTTACGCACTGAGATTAAAATGATTGAATGGTTGACACATAAAAAGTTTTATAAAACGAAAACATAGCCGATTCTGGGTAAATCCAGAATATCATGCGTATCACTTGTGACGTAGGAAACTTCCTATTACATCATTTGGCTTAGTAACCAATCATTATAATTCATTACGTCATATCTATCCAATTAGATAATTGAAAGCCGAAAGCCAAGGGTAGAAAACCAGCAGAGCTCTTGGCGTTCGACAGACAGACGCTCAATTCTGAGAGAAGGTAGGCACTTCTTTAGTGTTAGACATCGCCTGGGTTCTTTAGACGACTATATCATGTAGCCACGCTGGTACTAGCTGGTACTATTTCGTTTCGTTTTTTTATAATTCAAAATTTGGTTTTACTTAGTCTTTACTACACTAGGATCTGGAAGAGTTGTTATCATTGACTTGTTCTGGATGATGTGAGGGTTTAGCCAATCAAATAGTATGTTACGGCGAGCTTTTGGCGTGAGGTGCACGGAACTGTGGGTAATCCACTAGAAACACCAATGCTGATTGGTTAATCAAATGTCTGCCGTTATAGGATCAAAAGCCGCTCATATGACCTCTGACGCGACCTCCCAAAACAACTGGTCAGATCATGTAGTGTAGGCCACCGAAAGTATAGATTTTTACAGGAGTTGGAGTTGAGAAAAAAAAAGATGTTAATTGTATATCTTGTAATGTAACCTATGCTTGTAACCTATGTATCCACTGCTTGATATAAAATGTAAAAACGGTTTAACGTCCACTCGACACAAAATAGGTCATTTCGGGACTAACATATCGTTCAATTTTATTTCAATCAATCGCTTGCGTGTAGGGGTCTTTAGCAGTGGGAGGAAACCGGGGGACAAGCAACCCTACTCCTTGTCACGTACAACCGGGGAATCTAAACCACGCCAGTTGAATAAATACGGACCTTATGATACAACGCACACGCGCTAACCATTAAGTCACCCCACCCACCGCCACCAATAACAGCATAGATTAATATAATTATATGTATGTTTGCGTCATTCTACTTGCCTACGCCAGGGGGAGACACGTCCGTGTGAGACAGGCCAGGGTGATATACGCAGGCTTAACAATTTAAATTTAAATATACATGTACACAAAGGCGGAATATAGTTTATTAAACAACTTTATTGATTATGTAACATTGTTATAAAAAATATAAATATATGAAAAATCAATACAGATTTATTGTCTTGGGGTTTTTTTTGAAGGTCAAGATTATTAGGCCATTTCGGGACTAACATATGGTTAAATCTTATTTCAGTAATTCGCTATGCGTTGTCACGGGGATTCGAAACATGTCACTTGACGCCATGACCGACCTTGCTATCTAAAGCGTTAAACTATTAGACATCTCTGAATAGAATGCTCTCAATAATTTAAAGAGACAAAGTGGATAATTTCTGGACTTTTACTAATCTTTTTAAGTACAAGGATCTTTAAACTTGTTCCAGTTATGTGGGGCGGCTTCATAGAGCATGGGTTAAGATTTAACGTCCACTGGATCAAACTGGACGTTCAATAATTGATTTAAGCCGCTGTGATCTTTAAAAGTTTTGGGGAACTGGTTCGCTAGAACATGAAACTAGAAGAACAAATGTCATGCCATTTTTTACAATCTGATTAAAACACAGATTCTATTTCGTTTCGTTTTTTTTAAAGTTCAAAATTTCGTTTTACTTGTCTTTACTACAGTATTATCTGGAAGAGTTGTTATATTACCGGTGTTTTGGTTAAAGTGAGGGATAAGCCAATGAAACGGTCTGTTACGGCGGCTTCTTGGCGTGCTGTGCACGGAACTGTGGATAAACCACTAGAAACGTCAACGCTGATTGATTAATCAATGTCTGACGTCAAAGGGTCAAAAACCCCTCGTACGACCCCTGACACGACTTTCGAGTACAACTTGTCAGATCTTCATATAGTGTAGGCCATCGAAAGTATAAAAAAAACGAAACGAAATATAGATCTGTATTTTAATCAGATTTTATTTTTTAGGAATGTAATGAACGTGTGTAAGCTTTAATAAATTGGAGAAAAAAAAGTTTAACACCATCCCGGTGCCCATGCGTTGCCATGGAGTTTAACACCATCCCGGTGCCCATGCGTTGTCATGGAGTTTAACACCATCCCGGTGCCCATGCGTTGCCATTCTTCTTTGCTACTTCTCGTGCCTGTGGATCGGGAGGTGGATAGTTGGCAGCCACGTAGGTTAAACGATATTCGTTGATTCTAGCAGTTAATTTACCAACAATATCTGGACGTTTGTCGGCCATATTATTATATTCATTGGGATCATCTGAAATAATATTTAAATACATAAATTAGAACCATTGACTCCGTCCTTGTATTTAAAGCTGGAGTCACGGTGAGTAAGACGCTGGTAAGACACAGGCTCGTTAGTCTCGAGGTTACGGGTTTGATCCTGGTGTTGGGCGAGAAAGTTCATGAGGATTTCCCACGTGGTTTACTCTTGGTGTCAGTGGTGCAGGACGGGGGGCCTGACAAAGGACAGCTGTCTAGTCGTTTGGATGGTACGAAAAACTGAGGTCCCGTGTACAAATTGGCAAGCACGTAAAAGATACCTTGGCAGTTGGAATTGGATATAAGAGTAAGCATTATCCCAGTAGGAGCAGAAGAGAAGGACGTTAAACCCTGACCGAGTACTGCAATATGTGGTCCGGTTTTACCACTTTACTTGTAGGTCAACAAATCCGCGGATTGATTTCAAATAACAAAGCAGTGATTTTAGATAATATAGTCCAAGAAGCAGTACCTGCTATATTAAATAAGTATGTTGGAGTATCACCAGCGAAATAAATATTATTTAATAATAGAGTATCTTTTGTCTGGTTCATTGGTTTGGTCCACCCATCAGTCTGACCTGGATAACCCAATAACAACTTCCAATCACCAACTCTACAATACAATAGAAAGACTGGATGACAAGCTCTCATTAAAACAATAATTCGTGACTAACATATGAGTTAATGGTCATATTTCCAAGGAAGATTTTTACACGAATACCGAGCGTTTCAGCTACTTAACAGGTTCGTACAGAACAGTTAAATGACATTCCATTTCTTCAAATCTCAAGGAATAATTTACGCTCTTTGATCAAATTAGTCTACAGCAAATAACTTAAACACCGTTTACAACTTTATATTTGTGTTCCAAATTTTAATGTATTTTCTAACAGCTGTATCCGGGTTGGAGGGATACTGCTATTCATCGATGTATGCGGGTAATGGCCAGCATCTTTGAAACATATATCGGACATATTGCTAGCGAACGGATTAACCCCTAAAACATATAATTTGATGTGTACTTTATTTTACCAGGAGAAATGTTCAATGACTACCTTATTCCATAAGGTATGATGGTTCAATGTTTACCTGATTCCGGCAGGTGAGATGGATCAATGTTTACCTGATTCCGGCAGGTGACATGGTTCAATGTTTACCTTATTCCAGCAGGTGATATGGTTCAATGTTTACCTGATTCCAGCAGGTGAGATGGATCAATGTTTACCTGATTCCAGCAGGTGAGATGGGATCAATGTTTACCTGATTCCAGCAGGTGGTATGTTCAATGTTTACCTTATTCCAGCAGGTGATATGGTTCAATGTTTACCTGATTCCAGCAGGTGAGATGGATCAATGTTTACCTGATTCCAGCAGGTGAGATGGGATCAATGTTTACCTGATTCCAGCAGGTGGTATGGTTCAATGTTTAACTGATTCCAGCAGTTGAGATGGATCAGTGTTTACCCGATTCCAGCAGGTGAGATGGGATCAATGTTTACCTGATTCCAGCAGGTGGTATGGTTCAATGTTTACCTGATTCCTGCAGGTGAGATGGATCAATGTTTACCTGATTCCGGCAGGTGATATGGATCAATGTTTACCTGATTCCGGCAGGTGAGATGGATCAATGTTTACCTGATTCCAGCAGGTGAGATGGTTCAATGTTTACCTGATTCCAGCATGACCTTGTGTTGGTATAGGGAAATCATCCAGATTATAAATAAATTCTGTTCTCTTTGATTGTTGATTTAATCTGATAGAATCCCACTGATTAACACCATCAAGGCCAGGAACTGAAACATACACCGTTATAAACTCATAGAGATTGGACGCAGAGAAAATCAAAGTGGGGAATGGAAACCACGCTATAATTGACACAGAGACAGACCTTATGATGTAAAGCGCACACACCAAATCATTGGGTGGGAAACGTTAATAATTGGTAATAATTGGACTGTATCATAGGGAGTCGTGGTCAAACCCAACACGGGGATACCTTTAAACCGGAACTATCTTGATGATACTATATAGTGATCATATAGATGTCACCCTAACAGGTCAGTTCATGGGGAGTAGTCGTTAGCCTGGAGGTCGGGTATATTAATCATATTATAGTCTAACTATCACCAAGGCAACTGATCGTAACCATGATGTATATACTTACGTTGTGGTGCACCAGCGGCTCCTAGTAAGGTTGGCATCCAATCAACCGAATGAATCAATCTAAAAAAAAACAAACAATATTCACATCATATCTTATATTCCTCAAGCCGTATGGTTCATTTCTTTATTTCAATAATTAGGTCGCGTGTAAATAGGTCTTTAGTAGTGGGACCCACAGAAAACCCACGAGGATGGACAGGCGACCTTACTCCTTGTCACGTACCACCTGACTCAATGACAGACCTGCTGCCCGACAAAATCTTTTCAGAAATTGGAGGCCGGAAACGTGATTTCCTGGCATTTCAGGCACTTGCGTGGAGCCATTTAGAAGTACCTCCCCCCCCCAAAAAAAATTCTGCCACAAAATTAGCGCATTCTGGCGTTATTTCATTGGACCAATCCATGCGAGTGCTATGAAATGATGGCATTTCTAGAGGAGGGGGCTGGAAGCATCTGGGATTTTTGTGGGGGGCCCTCTAATGTGGGGGGCCCTGGGGCCTGTGCCCCATGGTGCCCCATGGTTAATCCGGCCCTGCAACTAACCCATTATAGTGAATGCCTGGTTGTGTAATTCCTGCACCTGCCATGAAGGACGTTCCTCTAGTACCACCTTCCCATAAAGTATGTTTACCACCTCGTAATGGATAATTATCACCATACATAAACACTTCAGCACCATTCTAAAATATAACACAATATAATAGAAACACTTCAGCACCATTCTAAAATATAACACAACATAATATAAACACTTCAGCACCATTCTAACATAATTAGCGTAGCGTAGCATAGCTTAGTATGGCATAGCAACGTTCAATCGCGTATCCCCAAGGCCTCGGAGACAGACTTTAAAATATAAAATATCTAATCAAGGGGAGGTAATAACTTACATCAGTAGTAAATAATATTAGGGTATTGTCCAGCATTCCTTTGTTAAATAGAGCGTTGGTTATATTACCAAAAGCTTCATCCAGTGCACTAACCATACCTATACATACATAAACAATATATTAACACAATACAACAGATATAAACAATATATTAACACAATACAACACAAACTGAACGAAAAAATAATAACGTCACGATTCTGCTCACGTCACGATCCCTGGTGTGGGCGTATTTTTCTTCCACAAGAAACTTGTCTGCGATATCACACTCAGTGGAAGTGGACGTTAAACTCTAATTATAGTTACGTGGTGTGTTTGAAGTTTATTTACCTGAGAATTTTTTTCGCCCCTCGTTAAATACATGTGGATACATATTAGAATATTTCTCTGGTACCTTTAAAATATAATCATCATTATACATGCTATAAATAAATCACAAACTTATATATAGGTGTTATTTAAACTCATAGTATGACCGTTACTAAACATTTATACAGCCTATGTTGGTCTATCAACCCTATGTCCTAAGTTTCTGCTCCGACTGGGCTAATGAAGACGGACTTACACCATGCAGGATGCTATGCGGACAATTTTGTCCGGACAGCGGCGCTATCTCCTGCTCTTATTCCAACTGCCAAGGGTTCTTTTACGTGCACGGCAATGTCTACACGGGACCTCGGTTTTTCGTACTATCCGAATGACTATACGCTGTCCTTTGTCAGACCCCCATCCTATACCACTGAAAACTGGACACCACGCCGGAAAACTTTCTCGGCCAACCCAGGGATTGAACACGGAACCTTCAGGTTAGTGAGTCAACGTCCTACTCACTGAGTCACCGTGGCTCCCCAGGTTAGCGAGCCAATGTCCTATTGACTGAGTCACCGTGGTAAATTCTGACTTACCTGTATAGGATAATGTACATTTTGATATGGTAAATACATAAAAAGTGGTACATCTGGATCATGGGCTTCAATAATATTTGTTGTTCTGTTCGTATAAACATACTGGAAGATGATAATACAGAAAACAAATTATAAGTTGCAATACTATAAAGTAAAATATCATACAATATCAGAAACTAACGCAAAATACAATATATTATTATAAACTAACATAAATTATAGTAAAATAACATTCGATATCCTAAAGTCGCTGCATCTACAAAGTCGGACAAACTACCACTAGACCTTCACAGAATTCCTACACTTAATAAAATCAAATCTGACTTGAAAACTTATCTGTTTAAATTATATTAATAGAGACTTGTGTATTATACACCATGAGCACGTTTTGTGGATATAGCGCTTTATAAATGGACATATTATTAAAATATGATAAACTACTATAAAATGCCATAAAGAACCGTAAAATACCACACGATATCATAAACTATCGTAAAATAGGATACAATAACATAAAATGCCATAAAATACCGTAAAATACCACATAATGCCGTATATTAACATAAACTACCATACGATATCACAAACTACCATAAATTACCGTAAAATATAAATAAAGAACACGTTTCGATTATATATTGATGATCCCTGGGTCCAGTTCTTACCGTAGAATATTGTCCATTAAATTCTCGTGCAACTCGTTCACCGTCATTAAAATCCAAATAACCCCCTGAAATAAAAATAAAATCCGGGATAATGAAGACATGCAATTCGGAGGCAATGCGACTTTTCCCTGTATATCAGTGTGTGCACAAGTGTCCCACCCGAAAGACTAGACTAACTTCTGAATCAAGAGCACCCGAACGACTAGACTAACTTCTGAAAAAAGAGTTTTAACGCCTTTAAAAGTAGAAAACATGACCTGTAAGTTGATCGTTACGAGGGAGAGAGAGAGAGAGAGAGAGAGAGAGAGAAATGGGGTTTAACGTCCACTCGACACAAACTAGGTCATTTCGGGACTAACATATGATTTAATTTTATTTCTATAATTCGCTTCCGCGTAGGGGTCTTTAGCAGTGGGGGAAAAACCGGAGAAAAATCCACGAGGTTGGACAAGCGACCCTACTCCATGTCACGTATAACCGGGAATTCGAAATCACGCCAGTTGACTCAATGACAGGCCTTATGATACAGCGCGCAAGTGCTAACCATTCGGCCATCCATCCCCCCACCCACGTCACACGGGAATCCTATTAAAGCTCCTATTGTAAACTGCTAATAAATATAAATACAAGACGATTGTAATCAACATGCGACAGGTTGGGATGGCCAATTGGTCTAGGGTGTCTCTTCAAGCTCTAGCTGATGTGAGCGTAGGTGGCTTGGAGATAGGGGGGCCTTCCTAACCTCGTGGGTTTACTCCGGGTATTCCAGTTTCCTCCCACAGGGGAGACAACTGCGCGTGCGGTAAGCATAATAAAATATAGCAACTTGTCTGTGATATCACAATCGGTGGAAGCGGAAGTTAAACACCAGAAGAAGAAGGAGAAGAAGGGGAAGAAGAAATACAACATACCCTGTACATGACTATAATAATCTTCTTGAGAATGATAATAGCCTAGATAGGAATCAAAACCTCGATAGGTTGGTGTACAATTCCAATTACAAAAACCTAAATGCCACCTACAATAAAATCATAAAGCATAATGAATACAGAACTATGTTAGTTTGCGCAACTTCTAAGTAATGAACCCTACCATTATGTTGGATAGAATCATGGGATCGAATCCAAGTTAGCCCCCACCCCAACAAAAATAAGCGGGGTTAGATGGCCGAATAGTTAGCACGTGCGCGCTGTATCATAAGGTCTGTCATTGAGTCAACTGGCGTGGTTTATATTCCCCCGATGTACGTGACAAGGAATAGGGTCGCCTGTCCAACTTCGTGCGTTTTCTCCGGTTCTCCGGTTTCCTCCCACTGCCAAAGACCCCTACTCACAAGCGAATTAATAAAATAAAACTGAACCATATGTTAGTTCCGAAATGACCTATACGATGTGCTCAAACTTACTTTCCTACTGCATGAGTTGCATAGCCTACTTCTTTTAACTGCTGAGGTAGAGTTCGTAGATGTAATGGTAGACAAACTTTCTGATCCCCAATAACAATATGCTGTAATAGATTAATAACAATTTACAGGTTCTATAACTATTATTCTATTCGTTATAACCATCAGACATTTTTAGACTAACAAATAGTAAAAATAAGCTGACAAAAGGGAGATAACTCATTTTGAACTCACCTGTAGTCCCGTGTGATATGGATACATACCAGACATAAAAGTTGACCGGGAACTGAAAACAAACCAGAATCACTTTATATACATGTACAGGTCTTGCGACATCCAGCGCCCGGCTAATGATAAAGGTTCTATTCTGGCTTTCCATTTTCGGTGGCGCAGGACGGAAAGCCTGGTTTTGATTGGACAAAAAGCCGGGGTCCATGTACACATTGGCACGTAAGAGACAATTAAATTGGCGGTTGTAGTTCGAAATAAAAGTAGGCCGAAGCGCGGCTGGCCGGGAAAAATTCTCTCATGGCACACGACACACTGCGTCTACCCGTCTCGATTAGCTAATTGGGCCAGAAAAGTTGGACGTTAAACCCCATTTCACACTTGATGTAGGCTACTGGTTGATGCGATACAACCCAGTATGTTTATTATCAGTCAGGCTTGAAGCGGAGACGTTATGGAGAGCATGTCATGTCATTTCTTTCTTTTTGTCACTTTAAAAATGTTTTATATTTTACTCACGGACTGCACACAGGTAAGACATAGGCTGATTCAAATATTACACCTTGATGGGCTATTTTATCTATATTAGGTGTAAACATATCAGGATTCCTAAAACCAACATCATTCCAACCTGAAAATAATAAATAAAAACACACACACATTGTCACTCGCATCAAATATCAGACAATCCTCGATATCCAGTGGTATCGTTTCTTTCTACTCCACTAACCCCTGGCTACATTCACAGAAAGTCACATAGTTGAATTATCCGCCCTTGATAATTATGATATTGTAATCGACCAATCAAAAAATTCATTCAATATTAAATTTCTTGCAAACATTCCCATAATCGAGTATGTTGAGGTGAACGTAAACAATGGGGCTAAGACTGGTATGTAAGCTGTTTTTTGATTGGTTCGTAGAATCAACCTACGTGCCAATGAAATCACCAAGGGCAGATAATTTGTATTCGTGGAAATCCCTTGAATGGACTCATGAGTTGGGGATATCGAGGATGATTTTGTCTCGGCTTTATAATGTAATCAACTGTAGATAACCGTTTGGATTCAACTGAATTAAAAACAGGCCCATGAAAGGTGGCGCTGGTTTGCTTTTATCATATCACTGAACGGAACTGAACTACATTTGGACTGATATTACGTTTTGGAGATTGGGGGGGGGGGCGAATAGTTAGCGCGTGCGCGTTGTATCATAAGGTCTGTCATTGAGTCAACTGGTTTTGGTTCGCTTCTCCGGTTGTAAGTGACAAGGAGTGGGGTCGTGTGTCCAACCTCGTGTGTTTTCTTCGGGTCCTGCGGTTTCTTCCCACTGCTGAAGACCCCTACGCGCAAACGAATTATTGAAATAAAATTTAACCATATGTTAGTCCCGAAATGACCTGGTTTATGTCGAGTGGACGTTAAATCCCATTTCTCTCTCTTTTTAGGGATCCAGCTTTTGTAATATTACAAGGGATTCAAAATGGTGATAGCGGTTTTAATGTTTTATATACGATATCTGCCACAACAAGGGATTCAAAATGGTGATAGAGGCTTTAATGTTTTATATAAGATATCTGCCACCAGCACCACAAGTGGAACTACTTTTGGGAAAATGCCCAAATTCGCTCAAGGCGATCTTTGCACAAATCTAACCATCCCTGATTAGTTTTAATCAGTATAACTCACCTAACCCTGATTAGTTTTAATCAGTATAACTCAGCTAAGTGGATACAAGTAAATGATCAGTCAGGAGACTACTGAACTACTTTGAGCCATCACTGCCCCATTACTGGCTGCTTCTTAAAATTTGGGCAACACGGCTTTAAACTCTGCAGTGGGTACAAGTAAGTGTGGACGGTTAGACAGGCCGATAGAGAGGAGCGACGATATATGGGCGTATAAAATGGTATGGACATAAGTATGGAGATAATGGACCACAAGAAGAAGCAGGAGAAGATAGAAGACAATACCTACCTAGATCATCAGCAACTATAAATAATATATGTGGTCTCTTGGCTGATATCAACGAGACATGCATCAACAAAATGGCCGCCACCAGGAATCTCATCTTTCTAATACTGTTGATAGACTACCCTAGAATATCACAAATAATACATGATAATATTTTGTCTCGTCGAGAAGAAAAATTCACTGTATGTTGTGTTTTAATGGACTAAAATCTAGTGTTAGCGATGACACGATACGGAGCCATGGTAGTTCAGTGAGTAAGGTACCATGGTAGTTCAGTAAGTAAGGTACCATGGTAGTTCAGTTAGTAAGGTACCATGGTAGTTCAGTGAGTAAGGTACCATGGTAGTTCAGTGAGTAAGGTACCATGGTAGTTCAGTGAGTAAGTCAGTGAGTAAGGTACCATGGTAGTTCAGTGAGTAGGGTACCATGGTAGTTCAGTGAGTTAGTCAGTGAGTAAGGTACCATGGTAATTCAGTGAGTCAGTAAGTAAGGTACCATGGTAGTTCAGTGAGTAAGGTACCATGGTAGTTCAGTAAGTAAGATACCATGGTAGTTCAGTAAGTAAGGTACATTGGTAGTTCAGTGAGTAAGGTACCATGGTAGTTCAATGAGTCAGTAAGTAAGGTACCATGGTAGTTCAGTGAGTAAGGTACCATGGTAGTTCAGTAAGTAAGGTACCATGGTAGTTCAGTGAGTAAGGTATCATGGTAGTTCAGTGGGTAAGGTATCATGGTAGTTCAGTAAGTAATGTACCATGGTAGTTCAGTGAGTAAGGTATCATGGTAGTTCAGTAAGTAAGGTACCATGGTAGTTCAGTGAGTAAGGTATCGTGGTAGTTCAGTAAGTAATGTACCATGGTAGTTCAGTGAGTAAGGTATCATGGTAGTTTAGTGAGTAGGGTACCATGGTAGTTCAGTGAGTAAGGTACCATGGTAGTTCAGTGAGTAAGGTATCATGGTAGTTCAGTAAGTAATGTACCATGGTAGTTCAGTGAGTAAGTTACCATGGTAGTTCAGTGAGTAAGTTACCATGGTAATTCAGTAAGTAAGGTACCATGGTAGTTCAGTGAGTAAGGTACCATGGTAGTTCATAGAGTAAGTTACCATGGTAGTCCAGTGAGTAAGGTGTTTTAATAGACTAAAATCTAGTGTTAGCGATGACACGATACGGAGCCATGGTAGTTCAGTGAGTAAGGTACCATGGTGACTCAGTGAGTAATGTACCATGGTAGTTCAGTGAGTCAGTAAGTAAGGTACTATGGTAGTTCAGTCAGTAAGGTACCATGGTAGTTCAGTGAGTAATGTACCATGGTAGTTCAGTGAGTAAGGTACCATGGTAGTTCAGTCAGTGAGTAAGGTATCCTGGTAGTTCAGTAAGTAAGGTACCATGGTAGTTCAGTGAGTCAGTAAGTAAGGTACCATGGTAGTTCAGTAAGTAAGGCACCATGGTAGTTCAGTGAGTAAGTCAGTGAGTAAGGTACAATGGTAGTTCAGTGAGTAAGGTATCATGGTAGTTCAGTGATTAAGGTATCATGGTAGTTCAGTGAGTAATGTACCATGGTAGTTCAGTGAGTAAGGTACCATGGTAGTTCAGTAAGTAAGGTACCATGGTAGTTCAGTAAGTAAGGTACCATGGTAATTCAGTGAGTAAGGTACCATGGTAGTTCAGTGAGTAATGTACCATGGTGACTCAGTGAGTGGTGGGCCTGATGAAGACCAGTGTGTAGTTACTCCGATAGGACGAAAAACACCTGTAATCATTGTATTTCTATGAATAAATATTACCCTGTATAAGCTACGTAAATAAATGAAAAGGGGTTTAACGTCCTACTTTTCTGCTCCGACTCAGCTTTAGAAGAGGGGCATACGCCATACAGTGTGCTAAGGTAATTTTGCCCGACCAGCTGCACTACAACCTACTCTTATATCAAATTTCAACTGCCAAGAGTTCATTCACGAGAAGGCCAACGTGAACGTGTACATGGAACCTCGGGTTTTCGTCCCATCTGAACGACTAGAGACTGTCCTGTGTCAGGCCCTCCGCCCTGCACCACCGACAAGTACAACCCACACCTGAATGTATATAATAATATTCTACCTGTTCCTACCTGTGTATATAATAATATTCTACCTGTTCCTACCTGTGTATATTATAATATTCCACCTGTTTCTACCTGTGTATAGTATAATATTCTACCTGTTTCTATATGTGTATAGAATAATATTCTACCTGTTCCTACCTGTGTATATAATAATATTCTACCTGTTTCTATATGTGTATATTATAATATTCTACCTGTTTCTAGCCGTGTATATTATAATAGTCTACCTGTATATTATAATACTCTACCTGTATATTGGATATTTCTATCAATGTGTATATACTACAGCTAACTGACCTTGTCCCAACCTCAATAATTATCAGATTATATTTATCATCAGTATAAGATGGACACTAATTATCAAGGTTACCTATATAATATACAATCACTGAATTACTTTATCGTACCTGGCAACTTAAAGATACAGGTGGTTTACAAGGTGAGCTTTATTTCTGATGTTATGTCTGTAAATATTAAAACTATGTGAGATCATAAAGTCTGTTATTGAGTTAAGTGGCATGGGTTCGATACCAATCCATCTGCCCAACCTTCTCTCTCTCTCTCTCTCTCTCTCTCTCTCTCTCTCTCTCAGCAATCTTGACAATTGATACTATATACGCCAAATATTTGACATGAAATGAAATGGGGTTTAACGTCCTACTGGTCTGCTCCGAATGGGTTATACATCTTACAGTGTGCTATGAGAAACATTTTGCCCGGACAGTTCCAACTTTCAAGGAATCTTTTACGTGCACACCAATGTGTACACGGGTCCTCGGCTTTTCGTCCCATTCGAAAGACTATACGTTGTCCCTTACCAGGTCTTCTGTCCTGCACCACTGACAAGGGGAAATCACGCCGGAAAATTCCAGTGAACTTTCTCGACCAACGCATGAATCGAACCTCCAGATTAGCGAGCTAGCGTCTCACCCACCGAGCCACTGTGGCTGCCCGTGCTTTTACGTGCACGCCATCGTGGACACAGGACCTTGAATGTATATAGACTTACAATAACGTACGTATGTCTCGTGATGTGATCAATGATAACACTAGCGCGTGGTACAATTCTATTTAATACAATTATAACCTATTTATAACTATATACACATAGGCCTACTGATGTCTCAAATAACTACCCTGTCTCTAGTCAACGTTCAGGTCAGAGGTCATCTATTCTCTCTATAGACTAAATATATCATTCATACAAACGAAATGAAATGGGGTTTAACGTCCTACTGTTCTGCCACGACTGGGATAATACAGTGTACTACGTAGAATGAAGTAAAATGAAATGGGGTTTAAAGTCCGGCTGCCCTGCACCAACTGGGATGATTCATCTACGCAATATCCCCCCCCCCCCATCATTGATATATATAAAACAGCTTGTGTCACACAAAAAGCTCACGAGTGAAGGGTAAACCTGGTCACTGGCAGGGTTGTCAACAAACGTGTACATAGTCCTTCGGATAGGAGCAAAATGGTCGAGTACATTTGGCTAATTAAAAAGAATTAGATGAAAAGCTGGCCGGCATAAATTACCCCCTTCACACTGTACTTCTAGTTGTACCAGGTATTTTTCTCAGGAGTCAAAATTAAAAAATCTACCCCAGTTTGCAGAACTTTTTATGTTGTCAGTGTCCTGTTGCCATGACGATTAAAGAATTTAATTAAAATATACGAAACAAAGCATAATTGTCTAACTTACCACAGTGCAAATAATGAATGATACGATATGCTCCGTCGCGTGCTCTCTCTTGACAGCTCTTAAAATGATGGTTGCTTCCCTTTAACCACAAGATATAGTGAATTCACGCATGACTGAAATAAAAGTATAATAACGTACTGACGTCACAACAAAATATGATTTGAAAACTACTGACCCGAGGTATATAAATGGACAAAGAGTATTAAAAACCCTATAGACTACAGTTTTTAAATGAAATAAAATGAAGAAAAGAAACGAGGTTTGTTTAACGTCCTACTTTTCTGCACCGACTGGGCTATTGAAGATCGGGTAGATTAACCTGTGACATATCTATGGCAACGAGAAAAAAAAATACTCCACCCTGAAGGTGATAATGCCTTTAAAGCACTTTTAGCGGCCATGTATATCAGAGATTAAAGGGCTTCCTTGTGTGAATCCCTCGGCCGGCTCCTGCCGTGGTATAACAAATGTGTGGACCCTAGATCAGAAAGTTTGTCGTGGCATCAAGTGTCGGCTTCTGTAGTAATATTAGATTCCCACTATCACAATTCACGCTACGATTAAAATCGTGGTTTTCATCGTGTCGTAATCGTGGTGATCCTATCAGGTCTTATCATAATATTGAGGCCAGTCGTAGCATTCGTGTTGATCGTATCGAAATGTAACCGAACGTATTTGATCGTGGACTCATTAGAGACTTTTGGCAAGCGTAAATTTCTGGTCCGTATCGCGTATCCGTATGGATTTTGCGTGTGACGTCATCAATGTTCGTGTATTTCTCATACGTGATACGGCACACGGATACGGCAGCACGTATCGAACAGCTTTCATACGGAAAAGGTCCGTATAACATTGTCGTGTCCTTTTACCGTCTTTTTTGCTACTTTTACATGTTGTATCGTAGCGTTTTTATGAATCTTTGTGTATTCTAGAACACGAAGGTGTATATTTGATGTGATTTAGTGAGGCGGAACCTTGCAAATCTGGTAAAGAGGTATAAACTTTCTGAAATGATACATCAGTGAAACCAACAATTGCAGTCGAGTCGAAGTCGATATCTGCCATCATGCTGTAATAGAACTAAGCTCAGCTGATCGACGCACACGTACGCGACGCGAAAATCTGCCAAAACTCTAAAACTACATTGACGCAACGTATCACGTATACGATACGGATACGTGATACGGATGGGAAAATTCCGCTTGCGAAAAGTCTCTAATATAGCGACAATCCTATCGTAACGCATCGCACGCAGTGGCAACGCAGCATTATCGACCAATGCTAAAAATTTCTTCGAGCAAGCGAATTACTTCAATAAGACCTGCAATTGGTCGATCTCTTACATAATGCATCTTTAGGCAAAGCCAACATTTAGCAGGTATAATTATACATGGGGGTATTTTACTTCAGGTAGGAAAATTACTCGACACCGTTTGTTTGTTATCTTATCAGGTGGAAGAACAACTGTAAATGTAAGTACAAATATAAACTAATTTCACAATTTAAAAATAAATCACTATATACGTTTAGGAAAAACTGAATGATTTTAATATTGATAATATATTAGAATATGCAAACGGTTTAACATGTCAAGTATCATGTAACATTTTAACCGACGTGTCAGCTCAGCTCTGAATTAGGTCGCTTTTATTTATTTATAGCCATTGCATATCAACAACGACAGTGCATATATCACGTGACGTATTCAATATATTGCATAGAAGTCTTTACTCGCTGTCTGTAGCTAGACAACTCCGTGAAGACAAGCTGTCGCACTAGTAAACCATACAGTATACATGGACAACGTGGGCCATTTGGCCTATATAGAAAATACTATTACCTTTCACCGGCGTATGAATTTCGACTGCTCGAGCGTCTACTAAGGGATTTACTATAGGGAGTAAAACCGGTTGGAAATGTTTCTCGTGTTGTACCCGGATGAAATATAAAATGTATCTATTTATAGATAGCCCTTTCTTGTCCCCTTTTTTGTGCCTTTTGCATGACAATTTATGTTAAGGGTTAATTGGTCTGGAATCGAAGCCAATATTTATGATTGAGGCGAAAGGATATAGGAATGTAAACATACATACATGAATTAGGGAAATCACCAACGAATATGACGTCACTGGATATATTGTTTCGACCAGACAAGAGATAAAAATCAACAGCCATTAATATTTTTTTACCACGTGATTTTCACATGTGTTTTATATATTCTGTATTAACAATAAACAAATGCCGCATATAAAACGATGGCAGGCGAATTTATACCTTAGAATAATACGTACATTATTTGAGATTAGATAAAGAGTTGGTAGTTATCACTATAATAGATACAAACTAGATAATGTAAAAGAATTTGCTGAAAATTTCAATCAAATTGCTCCTATCTGAGCCCAGGTACTAGCTTTTGAATTTTATGCTAGCCTCGATCATCATTACTAAAGTCTCGATTATCCACTTTAATCATCCTTCACAAAATGTATTTCAATCCACTAATTATCGCTGGCTGGCTGGCTGGCGATGGCATCGAGAGTTGCATAATGTATGTTTAATTAAAATGTTTTAGATGAAGCCAATATCAGAGATGGTTGGGTTACACGTTTTTGAAGCCGTTTTTATTGTGTCAGCCATTCTGCTGTTGTTGTCTGCTCTACAAAGGAACTTTGTGACGTCATTGGCTCTCTTCTCCATAGTTTATTTCGCCTACACTGTAATTCGTAAAAAGGCGGCAAAGTTTTTGAAGACGGAGGGAAAATATGTTTTAATAACTGGATGTGATTCAGGTATGTTAAATGTCGTGTTTGTCTCAATGAAATTTCCACTAACAATATATTTCTAGAATCTGTAATTGAAGACAGCAGAGATCTTATCGTGCGGCCAACTGACGGTAGATATTCGCGGCGATGGAAAAATGAAATGAAATGGGGTTTAACGTCCAACTGTTCTGCTCCGACTGGGCTAATAAAGACGGCGACGATGGAAAAAAAATGACTAGTATACCTTTCAAATTTCATAAACTAAAAAAAAAACAACCCCAAAAAACAGACACCCACACATCCACACAAACATCGAATAAACAAACTCAGCAGATCAGCAAATATTAGACACCCACACATCCATACAAACATCAAATAAATATACTCAGCAAATATTTACAGATAATTTGAAGTTCTGGGGACAATAGATAATCTTGCCCGTCTGTGCAAGAAATTGATTATCGCATATTGAGTAATTTAAATAGCCATGTTATAATTTGAGTAATTTAAATATTTGTAATAATTTGAGTTATTTAGATATTTTAATACTTTGAGTAATTGAAACATTTGTACTATTGTGAGTAATTTAAATATTTTAATACTATAAGTAATTTAAATATTTATGCTATATAATGAGTAATTTAAATATTTGTACCAAGAAGAAGAATTTAAACATTTGTATTACTTTGTATTACTGTGGTGAATTTAAATATTTGAATTATAATGATTAATTTATTTATTTTTTGTAATACTTTGAATAATTAAAATATCGGTACTATAATCAGTATATATTAAATATTGAGTAATTTAAATATTGAGAAGTACTTTCGGTAATTCAAATATTGAGTAATTTAAATATTGAGTAATACGTTGAGTAATTCAAATATTGAGTAATTTAAATGTGTGTGTTATAATGAGTAACTCAAATATTGAGTAATAGATGGAGTAACTCAAATATTGAGTAATTTAAATGTGTGAGTTATAATGAGTAATTCAAATATTGAGTAATTTAAATGAGTAATTCAAATATTGAGTAATACATGGAGTAACTCAAATATTGAGGAAAACGTTGGAGTGATTAAACTATTTGTACTTTGTAGGTTTTGGTCATGGTTTAGCTAAATACTTGGATGATTTAGGATTTAATGTTTTTGCTACCTGTTTACATGAAAATGGAACAGGTGCCAATGAACTTAAAAACATCAACTCTGATCGACTCCATGTTTTACAAATGGATGTCGGTAAAGATGAAAGTGTTACTGGGTGTTTACAGAAGGTGGAGCAAATGTGTGGAAACACCGGTGAGTGCTTACTTTCGTTTTAAAACTCCACTTGATGTAGGTCCGGAAACATGGTCGAAGAGATTTAACGTCCACTCGACACAAACTAGGTCATTTCGGAATAACACATGGTTCAATCTTATTTCAATAACTCGCTTGCACATACGTTCAGTTTAGAATCCCCGGTTGTACGTGACAACAAGGAGTAGGGTCGCCTGTCCAACCTCGTGGGTTTTCTCCGGGTCCTCCGGATTCCTCGCACTGCTAAATACCCCTACTCGCAAGCGAATTATTGAAATAAAATTGAACCATATGTTAGTCCCGAAATGACCTAGTTTGTGTCGAGTGGACGTTAAACCCCACATTTCTCTCTCTGTATTATTACTATGATTAAAGATACATTATATAAGATTTAAATAAAACACTTACCGCTCTTGCTATAATAGTTCAAAAATAGATGAATATACAAAATGAATATATTCAAATTTCATTCAAATTTCTTTATTCTAAGTGAAGTTATCACTGTTAGAAGTTTTGACAAAATGTGGTATCGATTGTTTATTATTGTAGCTCAAGGAAACTTGTTAATCAGTCCCGATTCACCCTTTTTTTAAAAATTAAATATAAAATGGCGATCGTGTATCACGTTAATAAATGTCTAAATACTAGTTTCTAGAACATTTAAAGCCTGCAATAAGCAGATTTAGCTCTTACATAATGCATCTTTAATTAAGATTATCAGCTTCTTTTTAGTCATTTTCTTTAAACAGATTATCAATCCTGTTTCATTATTTATAAAACAATACAGGTAATATGATCCACGTTTATTTGCTTAGCTTCTCGACATCAGATACCTGCAGTGATCTTTAACACAAGATGGTAGATTAGTTATATTGTATTTATATAGTGTAGGGATAGAGACACAAACTAGGTCATTTCGGGACTAACATATGGTTTAATTTTATTTCAATAATTCGCTTGCGCATAGGGGTCTTTAGCAGTGGGAGGAATCCGGAGGACCCGGAAAAAACCCACGAGGTTGGACAGGCGACCCTACTCCTTGTTGTCACGTACAACCGGTAATTCGAAACCACGCCAGTCGACTCAATGACAGACTTTATGATACAGCTCGCGCACGCTAACCATTCAGCCATCCACCCCCCCCCCCCCCCCCCTGTATAGTGTAGGTTTTTTGGGTATTGTTAATACCAATGATATAATGGTAATTATATTGTTTTGTATATTGTAGGTTTATGGGGTATTGTTAATAATGCTGGTATTAATTTTGTTGGTGATATTGAGTTTTGTACGATGAAACAGTATTTAGATATTGGTAATGTCAATATGTATGGTATGGTCAGAGTAACTAAAGCCTTCTTACCACTTGTACGACAGACTAAAGGTAACATTTACCCCGACCAACCCAATCTAATTAAAACACAGATCCTATTTCGTTTCATTTTTTATAGTTCAATATTTCGTTTTACTTGTCTGGGAGAGTTATATAACCAGCGTTCTGGTTGATCTGAGGAGTCAGCCAATGAAACGGCCTGTGGGGAACTGTGGGTATCCGAGGCTACTCGTATGACACTTGACACGACCTTCCACTACAACCGGTCAGATCTTCATGTACTGGAGAAACTAAATATAGATTTGTATTTTAATCAGATTACTGTCTACCAACCACGACCAATTAAATGTTTTACTTTGCGGAGGTCCCGATAAAAAGATAGCCACTGGATACCAATTTTATAACTTAAAATTTTGGTCATCCCCTCCCCAGCCACGTCTCTTCTTCTCCCCGCTAAATCCGACAAGGATTGACAGTTGAGATTTGATAGATAGAAGAGAGAGAGAGAGAGAGAGAGAGAGAGAGAGAGAGAGAGGTCATTTCGGGACTAACATATGGTTTTAATTTTATTTCAATAATTCGCTTGTGCGTAGGGGTCTTTAGCAGTGGGAGGAAACCGGAGGACCCGGAGAAAACCCACGAGGTTGGACAGGCGACCCTACTCCTTGTCACGTACAACCGTGGATTCGAAACCATTCCAGTTGACTCAATGACAAACCATTCGGCCATCCAACCCCCCGATTTGATATAAGAGTAGGCTGTAGTGCCGCTGTCCGGCAAAATTCCCCCATGGTACACTGCATGGCGTATGTCCGTCTTCATTAGCCCAGTCGAAGCTGTACGTAGGGTGACCCACCATAAATAAATATCTCCATATATCTCGACAATTACGCCACAATATTTATATATATGCCAAGCCTCAAATCAGTTTCACACAATTATAGTCACTAAATAAACGATCATGTTGTACTTAATAAGCTATGACCATTAATCCTGTATAAATAATAGACTGAAAACTGGTTCCAAGAGTTGTCCATAACATCCAGACACTTTTGAGTAAAAGATAGGTTACGTGCCCTTGTTTTGAAATTAGTCTCGCTTAACCAGTCAATCGACCATTCTACGTCTGATTGACAGGTCGTGATAATCAAGACTACTTTTTTACGAAACGTAACAGAAAGCTAGAACAAGAAATTGAATTTAGAAATAAGCACGTTAGGTAGCTCAACAATCGTTTTAAGAAGCTTGTAAAAGTAAAATGAAACTACTGCTAGTATCATGTTCCTGCCTAACCCGAGTGATTCAGAGATATTATTTGTACTAAACCAAAAGATGCCGCTCTTAACGGTACAGTTAATGATAAAGCGATTTAAAAAATGAAACGAACGTAATTTCTAAATCTGCTGTAATAACCAAGAAGCTTAATTTAACTGCTATTCAAATTCGTCAACAATAAATTTTTTACGGCTGTAATAGTTGATAGATTTGTAGAGAATTGCACGTGCCATGGCTATTTATAGTATCATACTGTCAGAAAGTTGGTCTCGGCACGGCGAATGTGCACGCTTCAGTGGTAGTCTCGAACTATCAGCAGTGGACTGTATTTCTGTGAGTACATGGATCACCCTAACAGTTGGACGTTAAACCTCATTTTATTTCATGTTTTGCAGGTCGTATAGTAAATGTTACCAGTTGTAAAGGTCGTATTGCACTACCATACGACTCAGCTTACGGTATTACCAAATACGGTGGAGAAGCGTTCTCGGATATTTTACGTCTGGAAATGAAACGATTTGGAATAAAAACCTCGATTATCCAGCCTGGTAATTACGGGGGTATAACAGGTTGTCTCAACGAAGAAGGGGTGAGTCTTCATTTTAAAAATCAAAGTTTAATAGATTTTGGGGGTTACATTTGTTCCTTTCAATATGGTAACATTGTCGTGAATTGATCGCGCCGTGGATTAGAAGATAAACCTGCAGACAAGACAGAAAATTGACATTGCAAAAAATAAACAAATATCAAATCAAGTGAATGGTTCCGGGGGCCAGTCGTAAGCGTCCACTGCGCTGTACAGGATTCACTAAAAATAAAGGGAAAAAAATGATTTACAAAAAAGACGTAACAGAAATAATGCGACCAATCTTGACAGTGGTCGTCTCTTCAATGGCGATATTCTGCCAGTTGACGTCATGAGTTGGGGGAGGGGGGGGGTCAAACACCGGAAGCTAACACCAATCTGAACGACAGACTCACCCTACCTGCTGAGAAGTGACTCTGGCACAGTGAATAGCCATGATATCCATGACGTTATCTAAACGTCACAGGTCATGAGGTCACATCAACAAACAAATGTAAACACCATCGTTATGATCATTATCAACATTACAAGACACAATGTTACATTGTAAACAATAGCCTTCTTGCAGCCTTTAGGACTGTATAATCCGTACAGAACGTCTCATCGCTTCTTCCAATGATTTTTCACAAAAATAACATCATCTACAACTCTAGATTTGAAGTCGGCATGTTGGCACTATTTTGTGCTTCGGCCGTTTCTATTTCAGATATACACAATCAATTCTGTTAATGTTTTTAGCGTGGGGATTGACTAAAAGTTAATTTATTTCAGTTATAAACAAAAATTTAAAACTTTAACGCAATTTTAAAAAAATAGCCAAATTCTGGCTGGGATTACTGAGCAAAATGGCCATTCACTGTATACGTGCGAAAAAAAAAGTCAGCTACCATTTAATTTTCGTACGTTAGTTACGTACGAGCTACCAGGGGACCTGCTGGTTAGTGAGTAGGGTCTTCACACAGAGCCAAGGTGGTTTCACATTTAATAACAGAATAGATAGGACAACACGTGAATTGAACGAAATAAGATTTTATTGATTTTAGAAAGTAACCTGTATGGCGTTTTTCTGTGTTCATTAGCCCATTTCATTAAGTAAGTGGCTATTGTTACGACGAGTCTGAGCCAAAATTAGAACGAATTCCAAAATTGCTGCCAATCTCCCCATCACCAGCTTTGCAAAAAGAGCAGTATTTTAAACGTTTTCAGAACTGAAGGCAGCAATTAAGAGATGGGACGGGTTAGGGTTAGGACTATTTTTACGACTATTCAGTTTTTTACTTCGCCGATGGAGGGGTGTGAAAGCATCGTCGTAACAATAGCATGAGAAATATTTTTACGACTCGTCCTAACAATAGCCACTGCCTTTCATTAATGTCTAATTAATAATTTAGATAACATTTCAGGCCTAAAGGAAGACCTGCAATAGGTAGATTTGACTCTTGAATAATGTATGTTTAATTGATTTTTAAAAGTAACCTGTTTTGTTGTTTTTTTTATTTTGTTGGGGTTTTTTTTTGTAGCAAGCTAGAATAAAGAATGATTTAGATGTCATGTGGAATAATGCCAGTGAAGAAATACGGGAAGTGTACGGCAGAGAATATCATGATTCTTTCTGTAGAGCTATAGAATCTGGTGCTCGAACAACCAGTCCTACTATACAACCAGTACTAGAAGCATTTAAAGATGCGCTATTAAATGTCGAACCTGAGACTAGATATCTTATACCTGGTGGTAACCAATGGTTTGATGTTTTCTGTGTAAGTTGTATTCTTCTCTAAACTCGTGTCCTCGACCAAACTGAGGGGTTCGGGCGGTCGAGTGGTAGTTCGTATGGTCTATCATTGAGTCAAGTGACGTGGTTTCAATCATAAGCTTGTACGTGACCATCTTCAATAGAAGGCTTGATCTCGCTTTAAAGGGACAGTAACACTCTTGCTGGTTTGACAGCTCCAGAAAATAAATAATAGCCTTATTCTACGTATTAGATGTTTAAGTGTCCTACCTGTTGTTGTGTAAATTATCCATTACATCCTATTTTACTTCTCAAGATGGTTCGAAATATTTTTAAACCCAAGTCACATTTGAAAAGGTTTAAGTTAGGCTTTTCAAATCATTTAGTTGGATTTTTCCAATTTTTTAAATTAGTTGTGTTAACATGAAATTTGCATCATCAATTAATTGGAATATTGTAAAATAGTACAATTTGTTGACCAGAATAAAGATTGGGACATATTATTCAGTTACAACAAGAGTGGTATTGAGCCTTTAAATCGTAGTTGTCACACATGGATATGCCCTAGACATGAATATAGTCACGTTACGTTACTAGACAGTTAAGTGTGACGTCACAGTGACCAAACGTGGCTAATATAAAACTTTTATAAATGCAGAATTAAACTAAAACTGTTTGGACCTAAACTCGAGCAGAGGTGTTTTCCTGCTACTTTCATTTAACAAATAAACACACGAAGCATTATCATGTGGCTAAGTGGGTAAGACGCTGGCTCGCTAGCCTGGAGGTCGGGTGTTCTATCCCTGCATTGGCCGAGAAAGTTCATCCAGATTTTCCGGCGTGGTTCCCCCTGACAAGGACAGCTGTCTAGTCCTTCGGATGAGACGAAAAACCGAGGTCCCGTGTATACATTGGAATGCACGTAAAAGATCCCTTGGCAGTTTGAATTCGATATAAGAGTAGGCCGTGGTGCCGCTGTCCGGACAAAATTTCCCTCATAGCACACTGTATGGCGTATCCCGTCTTCATTAGCCCAGCATAGGAGCAGAACAGTAGGACGTTAAACTCCATTTCATTTCATTTCATTATCACCGTGCTGACTCCACTCTAATGTTTAACATGTAAATGAGAAGAGATATTGTTTCACAGACTCTGATTTTAAAACATTCTCGGGTAATCCCTCAGACCTCACGCCAAACCTGGCGCTGTCTCCACTATCTCAAATTATTGTTGGAATGCTTTATATTGTCAGTGGTGCAGGACGGAGGGCCTGACAAAGAACAATGCATAGTTGTTCGTATGGGACGGAAATCCGAGGTTCCGTGTACACATTGGCGTACACGTAAAAGAAACCTTGGCAGTTGGAATTCGATATTAGAACAGGTTACAGCGCCGCTGTCCAGGCAAAATTCCCCTCATAGCACACTGTATGGAGTTTTTCCGTCTTCATTAGCCCAGTAGGATCAGAAAAGTTGGACGGTAAACCCCGTTTTATTTGATTTTTATTTTCAGATGTTTGCCATATTGAATGGTCTCTTACCAACCTGTATTATGGATAAATTAATGGACCGGCAGTTTCTGCAGCGTCGACCGTTACCTAGGCAACTACAGACCAAGAGTAAAACAGATTAACTGGCTTTCCGGCAAGATAATTCGCCATCTTCGAATTTCATTCCATATGATAAAAATACTCTTCCCCAAACCCCCCATTTTAAATTTCTTTTTGTCCACTACTGTACATGAAACCATGACCTTGGTGCCACTGGATGGTCAAGACTACACCGTCGTTCACATCGAGCTCATACGAACACTGTGCACATTCAATATGGACGTGTATTGTCGTGTCCTACGTACGTCCATTTCGGTCAATCACAAACAGTTATGTAAAGATCTTGATATTACATGGTGGATTTGGTACATTTTTGATTGGTGTAGGGTCTTAAACCTCTTTAACGATGGTGCTTGGTCCTCTCTTGTTCAATAACTGGTTAGACCGAGTCTAGATTTTTCTATGGCCATATGCGTTTTTCAGTTGTCCGATGTATTTATTGTATTATTGTGTTTTTGATGTGTGACGGTGGAGTGAATGTTTGACGTAGGGCATCATTTTAGGGGTGGGGGTAAAATAAGGCTTTATTTCTACTACAGTTTTATGTAAAATTATTGTGTTGTAATATAAATATTATTATATTCTTGTTTTTCGTTACTATTTATCATTCTTATATAAAAGCTTTAAAAACTGTAGGTATCACTGAATAAATGGTTTAAAGAAATAATTTGTTATATTTTTTCCAAAAAGGGTGGGGGGGGGGGGGGGGCTTTAACGCGTGAACTATTGATCATAAGGTATGTCACTGAGTTAGGTAGCGTTGTTTCAATCCCACCTCATGGATGGAGTTTCTTTCAGATTCCTTCCACTGCTAACTAAAGCCCACTAGATTGTGACGTTAAACTCTCTCCCCCCCTCTCTCTCTCTCTCCCTCTCTCTCTCTCTCTCATAATTCATAACCTGGGAGGGGGGGGGGTTGTTTTATGGGGTTTAGCGTCCTACTCTTTTGTACCGACTGGGTTAATGAGGATGGACATACACCATGCAGTGTGCGATGAGGGAAATTTTGACCAGACTATGACGCTAGCGCTATTGCTTCCTCTTAAATCAAATTCCAACCCTGCACGCTACTCCGAATAACTAAACGTTTTCCCTAGCCAGACAAGGTGGAACTATGCGGGGAAATCCTGATGATCCCAGAGAAAGAGGGAGAGTTTAACATCCACTGGACACAACTAAGGATGTAAAAGGTCACTCGGTTATCCGGTCACGGTTCGGGTTGCACTGTTGAACCGGTTCAAAAAATTACTAACCGAAATAGCACTTGTCTCGGGGAATTAACGTCTTTAAATTCCCGCTCGAAGTTTTGTATATGTGAGTACAGTAGTAGTAGTATCCTGGTGTTTTACGTCTGCTTCCACATAAGTGATATCGCAGACAAGAAATAGGAGAGCCGAAGCTGCTTCCTGTTTTTAGAATATGATTTTGCAATCTTTCCATTTTTGGCCTTAGGCTATGGATTGGGTTTTGTGGGAAGTTCTTCCCTTTATTTAGTAAAAAACATATCGTTTGGTAGATGTTTTCTTCTGCTTCTGGATTGGTAGATGTCTTCGTTGTGGGATTAGTGTTTAGGTGCCAGGCCCGTCTTATCGTGACCTCCTCTTACTCCACAATCCCACTCTATGGGTTTGGTATCTGTTTCTTTATCGGAATAGTGTTTAGGTCCCGAGTCCGTCTGACCGTAACTCCCCTTGCTCCACTATCCTGCTAGTTTGGTAGATGTCATCTTTGTGGGATTTGTGTTTAGGTGCCAGGCCCGTCTTATCTTGACCTCCCCTTACTCCCCTATCCCACTCTGTAGGTTTAATGTCTATTTTTTTGCCGGAATGGTGTTTAGATGCCGAGTCCGTCCGTCTGATCATACCCCACTATCCTGCCAGTTTGGTATAAATCCCCTATGTAGTGCCCCCCTCTTACTTCACTATTCTACTTAGTCCAACTGTGTCCATTAAGGCGTTGATTTTTTCGAAGATTTGCAGTTTCAGATCTGTTCTCGGGAAGAGTAAGTTCCTAGTGTTGAATGGTATGTTGTTAGTCTCCATCATTCTCACTAGTTCCCTTCTCTCCTCCTTGTATACCTCGCAGTCTACCAGGACGTGGTTGGTGGTACATTCTTCTCCGCATTCACAGACGATGACTTGGTGTTTGTAGTCTTGCAGCCGCTCTTTCATCCTTAGTTTCGATATAAGTCTGCATATATCTCTTCTAGGGTGATTGATCGTTGTCTTCGTGTAGATTTTGTCATCCAGTCGGAATCTGTATGTATCAAGTTCAACGAGTTTTAATTCCCAGAATGAATTGACCTGTCTTTTAACCATACTGTAGATTTCCGTGGTGCTGTAGTCTATGGCGCGGAGTGGTTCTGTGTCCTTGAGACCTTCGTTGGCGAGTCGACCTGCCTCCTCGTTTCCTCTAATGTTGACATTAACTGCGAATCAAGCCAGCCCTCACTACGAAAATCGCTGGATGACCATGACTCATAGATTTATACTATAAATAAAAAAATGCGGGGCTTAATCCAAAATTCCGTATATCCATACTGAAAAGTAAAGTTAATCCTCTCTTGAAATGTATTTATTATATTTTTTTTTGGCGGAATGCATATATACTTTTTAAGCTTTCATATTTCATTAATTTTTTAATTTCAATTTCGTTTTCTGGTCATTTTGATTTAAAGGTGAAAAAATGAGCTATTTACAACCCATTCAGGCTTTTCATATTATTGTAAAATCGGGTGTTTATCTGACACTTAGATCAGGTTAAGCCCCACGGCTTCACCCCCCTATTGACCTAACCTGCGATGGCCAAGTAAGGCTTGATGGGTCAAGGGGTGATTCCCCAGTACAGTTAAGTATATTTTCACCACTATATTTATAGATAAAAGGGTACTTATCAACCGATCTCTTTTAATATCTTTTACACCACAACACCAACTCTTATTACACTTCTAGTCAAACACAGGTTTCCAACTCAGCATAGAGGGCAGAGAACTTGCTATTGAGAGTGAGAGAGCATGTGCATATCAATGTGGCCTTTTATAACTTCTAAAAGCACATGCATCGGACCAGCCCACTATTAAAACTGGCCCAGTCCATTATAGACACAAGGGAGACTGGGCAATTTTACTAAACACCCCCCAACTTTATAAAAGGGGACCCTCCTTGGGGAAACAAATTAACCCTACAGAATACCACCGACTAACCAATGTCCTATATACACTCAAGGAGGGAAAAAAGCATAAACATTAAAAACTAAAGTTAAACTTGAATGACAGAGATAAAAATCCCCATACAAAAACACTCATTTTAAAACTATTGACATGGATATAAAATTTTAAGAGGAATCACAAATGGGACAGGTATATATATCTATAGACTCCGCCTCCTCAGGGGTTAGATTAACACACCGTCCATGGAACCACTCTAAACAATGATCACACTGGATTCCAAATCCTCGTCCCCATGGTTTTCGGCAAACACAATAGATTTTACGTGTAGGACGCACTGGGGTAGGATTATCTCCTCTCATGATTTTATTCCTATAATGCTTTACAAGGCTTTATTCGGTCATGAATCATGATCAGGGCTGCCGACAACCAGTATCGCAGCGCAATTTGCGATACATATGTTGTCCGTTGCTAACCAAAAATTAAAATCTAACGTTTTTGATTCGCAGTTACTGCGAATCACTAATATGCCTGTCATTTTGGATATTGACACAAGAATAATCCACATTTTGAAGACTAGAAGGCTTACTCAACACTTTCAATGTGTATAAAATGTTGAATAAAATTTTATAAACAAAACTGAATTCTCCGCGTGACATTTTCTTCTCGAACTACCCAGACACAATACTATATAACACAGGGACATAACTCTATGAATAGGGACTATTAAACCGGAAATAGGGAATCAAGTAGTACCACTCGTACAATACTGGATCTTCAATGAGTCGTGTTCTATTTTTCACTCGGCAACCCGGCATATCTCTGCAGATTTCACTCGGCCAACTTCGGTTATTCCTCTACACCAAACCATGTTTCCAAACAGAGTTATCTTTCCGTGACCCGCAAATTATATTTTTAACAATGAGTTGAATTCTATTTTTCATTCGGCAAACTTCGACAGATTCCGGAAAACCTCGGCAGAGCTATATACCGGTATATAGAAACTATAATATAGCCAAAGAAATATATACTGACAGTATATATTTCAATGATATAACTCTACGACTTGTCACTTGATCCTTGATACATTTTCCAAACTGAGTTATCTTCTCGAGACAATAGGCCTATCGTATGATTTCCCTACCGATCGCCGCCATTTGGAACTACGACACTGCCATCACTTGACGTAAGGTTTAGCTTCTACCTAATTTTACGAAATTTCTTGATTTCTTGATCATTTTAAATAAAAGCAATTAAGCGGTTATGGCTGAACTTTGTCTATTCGGTCATTCTTTTATTCATCGTGTATCCCATAGGATTGGTCCCAAAAGTTAGAAAAGACTTCGTCAGCAAAAAAAATTATTTATAATCGGTACATCTATGATTAAGATTTGATTTATGCAGTTTTAGTCAAATACTAGCCTACTATAAAGTAACAAACTTCATTTACATTACCCAGGTCAGAAAATCTCCTCAGAAAATAAAAGACAACTGTTTAGTGTTTGTAGCCCAATAAATATAAGAAGCTGACGCCGTTAAAAACAGTGTTAGCCTAAACATCAGAATATTGCGCCAAAAGCAAACCAGTTAAAAATATAATTTGCGGGTCACGGAAAGATAACTCTGTTTGGAAACATGGTTTGGTGTAGAGGAATGACCGAAGTTGGCCGAGTGAAATCTGCAGAGATATGCCGGGTTGCCGAGTGAAAAATAGAACACGACTCATTGAAGATCCAGTATTGTGCGTACCGCACACATTGCGAGACATCAAGTAATTATATCATATTCATTTTGAAAGAAATAAATCCAGTGTATCCCCCACGCATTGTAAATAAAATATAAAAAAATAAATACATGTTAACGTGTTTTAAAATGATAAATCAAAGTAAAAATTCCCGTAAAATATTATTGTTTATATCGCGTGTGTCTAGTTAATCGAGGTGCGCCCGATTGAACAAAAATAGTAAACTAATACACGATAAAAAGCAGACAAATTGTTTTCTAACGAAGATTTCTAACGTGACAAAAAATAACAATTAAATTGAGTGGAGCTTCGGAAGTCACTGTCAAGAATTGGCTTCAGACATAAGACCTAACTAAATGTCTACATCACATTCACAAACTGTCACAAGTAATTGTGGCAGTGCTAAAAAATCTAAGAATTTAAAGAATAGTCAGAATGGAATCTAATCATATTTGTTATGAATTAAAGTAATATCTTGTTATTTAGGTGTTTTACGTTGAAACTGAAAAACTGCTAATCAATTTTTAAATTTGCTAATCAAATTTGGCAAAATTGGACTTTTTGATTAGCAGTGCTGCTAATCAACTGTGAAAAATTACCGACAGCCCTGATCATGATGCATAATAGACTGGGCATTACGTGTTTTAACCCGTAAAAGATAAGGGGTCAAAACCTTATCAATCACCCCTGGGCCTTTCCAATAT